AAGAAAGCCTTTTTCGACAGATCCTGTAAACCTCCTTGTAGGAGGCATAAGGGATCTGTCGAAAAAGGCTTTCTTTCTTGACAGATCCCCCTCTAGACTGCCACTTTTTGCTGACAAAGTGCTGAGTCGGCAAAACATAGCGGCCATTGTTATGCAAATTAGGTACGGGATATTTATATCCCTGCCTCATTTGCAATGTCGAGATGCCTAATCTGCATCCCTCTGCCGACAGAGGGATGCAGTCTAGACATACCCCTAGTTAATACAATGCCTGTATTGTCACTGAGCCAATATGCAGCAGGGAGGAGAACTGAGCCTGACCTTCCTTCTGATTCCCCTACCCAAGGAACCATCACAGTTCCCTTGTACTCCACGGAAATCAGGAATTGCCCTTTCATGTCCCTCCCCAGGAGGAGTGATCTCCCCAAAGCGCATATGGGGGGCTCTGGTTTGATCGGAGTTGATGCTACCTATCCCCATCTCGGAGTCTTCGGAACTGCGTTGCTAACAGGCACATCAGGGTTGGTCCAACTCTGGTCCCGGGGACAAGATCTTCCACCATCAGGGCTGGAAACAAGTCAATGTTTTTGGTAGTCCCGTACAAACTGCACAGTGAGAGGCAAAAAGGGAAAGACTGTCAAAGGATGGAGAGCAATCTCAGCTGCCGTCCTGTGCAAGGAACCCATTGAGGACAACATTTGGACAGTAGCTATTGTGAGCCACCTAGACGACAGACGGGAAGGTCTAACTCAGCAATGAGGAGTAGTAATCAAGATAGACAGCAGGCAGTTTAGTCTTAGGCCAGGTCTATACTAGATCTGGAAGGTCGACTTAAGGTACGCAACGTAAACAACGTAGTTGGAGTCGACATACCTTAAGCCAAGCCGTCTTCACAGTGGGAGGTCAATGGGAGCCAATGCTCCTGTTGGCTTCCTTTACTCCTCGTGAGGAGGAGGTGCCGAGTGGCTGCACCCCTTAGCATTTGGTTTAGCATTTGATTTAGCAAGTCCTTACTAGATCCACTAAATCAAACACCAGAAGACTGATCAAGTGGAGATGTGGCCTTGGCAAATAGCTACCAGGGATTCAGGTTGATGCCCAAAGAGTGACATACCAAGTATGGGTATGGGAAGTAAAGGATGGCTCACTTAGTTTAGTTATTATACCATGGCCCTCACCCTGGCTTCCGAATCCCACCACAGCACAGCAGATCAGTTGACAGGTGCAAGGGGAGGTTAATATTATCGGTAAACTGATAGCATGGTCCAAGCCACAGT